GAAAATGAGAGATTGGGTGATCCAAATAAGATCAGGATTGGTGAGGACGGTGCATTTGACCTGGGTCTAGCATGTTTTTGAAAGGTCTGTGCATGGGAATACCAGATATTAGGCACAACCGTGTGAAAGCTCAGACATTCGGGAGAAACATTTTAGTTATCTTTCCCTCTCTATTATCAACTACGATAATTTGTTGGTTACATTTGAAATATACTAAGATCACTATAGACATTAACTTTTTCTTAGTGAGAAAGCTTGTTTAGATCACACGACAGTGAGCCTTGTTTAAGAATTCATGTTTACTGACTGCCTGCTATGGCTCTTCCCAGTGAAGAAAGTTATAAAATAAATAATTATTAGAGAATCATGTAAAACAAAAAAATCCAGAGCTCGTTACAAGTCAGTATAGATTTGGCATAATCTGTCACACCTCTTGACTATAACACTGGCCTAAGGACTGATACTTAGAACAATGTTCCTGAGATAACTGTGTGCTCCTCCACCAAAGACTCAAGGATCTAATTTAATATACATTCTCAGGAAATATTTTCTCAAAGGTCTAAGCAAAATAAGTAGTCTGATGAACATTTAGAAAATAAAATTATCCAGAACACCTTATTCCCCAAATATTCTTTCTAGCAAGGTTGTTGCCACAGAATAAAGCATCAGCTGCATGTTAATCTAGGGAAACGGGAGACCTGATTTTTGTTTATGAAAGTGGAGCATGAAAATGGCCAACTTTAACTTCCTGGTGGTCGATAACAGTCTAGTTCTGAGAAGCACCTTACATACATTCGCTCAATCCTTTCATCAGTCCTGTGAGAAGTACTGTAATCCTCCCTATTTTAGTGATGGCAAAGTTTAAGCTTGGAGAGGTTAAGTAATTTGTCCAAGGTCAACAGGTAGCCAAGATTCAAAACCAAGTTTGTCTGATTTGGAAAGGCATCGTATTTTACTGCAGTCATTGTTTTCAGAACTTTTACTCCTTAAATGATCATGCTTTCCTTGTACTTCATGTCACTTTTCCAACAACAGGGCTCTCAGACCCAACCATTTGATAATACATTTCGACAATATTGAAGTGAGGTTTTTTTCCTTCTATAAATATTTTAAATAGCATGTTCACATTTATTGAGACCATATGATATGTCAAGCAACCACATGCATTAACCTTTTTGCTCCTCACAGCAAGTTGTGAGTGTGGTAGTATAATTACCACTACTTTACACAGGAGACATCTGGCCTCCATGACTCCACACTCTGCCTTTGTTCTCTGTCTCCATCACTGGATTGTCCTTCTCACTGTATGTTACAGGTTCCTCTTCTCCTTCCTGACATAATTATTGGATGGCCCCAGAGCTCAGTTCTCTTTTCTGTCCAAGCTCACTCCCCTAACATGGCTCATACAGCCCTGTGGTTTTAAGGTTCATCTCAGTGATGATGATTTAGAAATTTATATCTCTTGCCCTAGCCTCTGTACTGAACTTCAGGCTAAAATACTCAACTGTCTACTTATATCTCCACTTGAATGACTTAATATATCCAAAATTGAACTCTTAATTTTTCCTCAAACCTATTCTTCCTGCAGACTTCCTTCTTTCAATAAATTTTCCTTAAAATGTTAACACAGATTAAATTCAAATTTAGTTAATAAAATTGATAGTTTCAATAGCTTTCTTAAACAGACCACCAAATTTGCTAAAATTTATGATCTGAGATTTACTGAAAAATATATCTCATTCCAGGGTTGCGATATTGATATCTATGTTGTACGCACACACACACAGACATGTACACATACACATACACATTTCTCAAGAAATAATTTCTGTACTTTGCAATAGTATATAAATAAATGAAAGCATTAAAAATAAAATCAAAAAGACAAGCATGTCCCACGGGCAAATGAAAAGGTTCTCCACATAATTATTCATCCAGGAAATGTACATTAAATTTATAATGCAATATCACTACATACCCATCAGAATGGCTAGAATGAAACAGACTGAGAATACCAAGTGCTGGTGAGGATGGGAAGCAAAAGAAACTCTCATATAATATTAGTGGGAATGTAATATTTAATATCTACTTATGACTTAAAATGGGACCTACTATTTTCTTTGTTAGCCCAATATCATCTACTTTGAGGAACTGCCATTTCTCTGTCTCATTCTGTTGAGGCTGTTCATACATTCTTGCCTTTTCTACAAAAGTTATATAGAGTGACTATATCTCTGAACACAGTGACTAGCACAGTGGTCAGCATTTGCCCCAGGCTAAGTCATTAAGAATTTTGTAGGGGAGATGCAGTTTTGTTTCTTTCTCTGGCATTGCAAACTCTCAAGGTATTACAGACTTGTGGCTGCCCTGAACACAGTGACTAGCACAGTGGTCAGCATTTGCCCCAGGCTAAGTCATTAAGAATTTTGTAGGGGAAATGCAGTTTTGTTTCTTTCTCTGGCATTGCAAACTCTCAAGGTATTACAGACTTGTGGCTGCTAGGGCCAACTTGCCGAGACATAAGAAGAGCTTTTCTCAGGCAAGGAGATCTCAGAGACAGAACTCCTAGGACACTGAACTTGTGTCTGAAGCCAAGACACACCTCGGCCTCTCCATTTTTATGGGCTAATAAATTCTCTTCTTAAGCTAGTCTAAATTGAGTTTCTGTCATTTGTATTTGACGGTGTCCTTGTATACTATTAAGCTATTGCTCCTCATCTTTCCAATTTAAGATCTTAAGTTTTCTGTTGAAATTTTGCATCAATTTAGCTTTATCTAAGAGTGATGAAAGGGTATCTGAATGGAAGTGAATAAATAAACTTTAGGGAAAATAAACTACAGAAATAATTTTTTTTTATAAAAAATTGATGACTAATATTCTTAATATATAAATAGTTAATACGTGCCAATAAACAAAAAACTAAGAGCACCTCCAATAGAAAAATGAATAAAGGACATAAACAGACAATAGAAAATGAAAATGGCTAGTATTCATATGAAAAAATATTCACCTGCACTAGAAATTTTTTAAAATGTAAATTAAAATTAATATAATTTTCATCTAACAAATAAAATATATTTAAAATGATAATATTTAATATTGACAAGCTCTAGTGAGACAGATATATGTAAAATATTGCTGTTAGTAATATAAAGCAGCACAATCTTCATGAAGGACAGTTTGGAATTGTCTCTTGTCTCTGTAACGTGAAATATTCAGGACTTAAAGGCTATTGTCCTCAGTTTGAGAGCTGGTTCCTTTAAGCCTTTGGGTTTTAACTGAACTGTGACCTCTTCACTGACTACTCTGCCTTGTCTCTGTAACGTGAAATATTCAGGACTTAAAGGCTATTGTCCTCAGTTTGGAGCTGGTTCCTTTAAGCCTTTGGGTTTTAACTGAACTGTGACCTCTTCACTGACTACTCTGTTTAAAGCACCTGCCAACCCTCACTTGTGTCTATCCTTACTCCCTATTATAGAATACTGTTCATGACCTTTATGACAATGATCAAACTTTATGAGTTTATTTGTTAGGTAACGCTCTTGTTAAGTGTCTGTGCTTCTCATCCATTGCAAGTATCATAGTGCAGGGACCAGGTCTGTTTTGCTTACCTCTGTATTCCTGGTATCTGACATTTAGCTCAGTAAATGTTTGTAGACTGAATGAATGACTTAAATATGTCAAACACCTGTTACAATTTTTAATGTTAACAATCTATTTATCTCATCATTTAAAATATATCCTATTTGTATAATCTCACTTTTTCTTCATAATTGCCATTTACAATAGTCCCCATTTGACAAGCAAGGCACATGGTCTAAATTAATAGCTAAAAGTCAGTAGAGTTGGATGACAGAATCCAAATCATCTAACTCAAAATCTAGTTCAAAAATCATATAACAAAAGAAAGAGAGAGAGAAAAGAGGGAAGGAGAGAGAGAAGAAAGGAGAGAGGAAGACAAGAGGGAAGAAAAAAGAGGGAGGAAATAATTCATTTGTGAACTTTCATGTCAAGGGCATATCACACCATTTATCCTGCTAAGAGCTTAAATCTCATACATTAAGCCCGTTAGGAAACCTCATACCTCCCTAAGGCATTTCAAGCCAGCAAACAGATTAAGAGTACTCTCAAACGACACTGTCTCTATGAGTCACACAGAAAGGGAAATAAGGAGTTTGTAGTTACAGAATAAGTCTCTTTTTCTCTGCTACATTTCACCAACATAAAACCAGATGATAAAGCCAGGTCACATAATCAAGTCTGATAATTGCAAGGAGCACACTTATAACACGATTCAAGTTTCAATTTCAAGTTCCAATTCATTCTCTCATAATTTTTCTGCCTTAGTCAACATTACACAAAACTTGGGCTCTCTAAACATTTAAAATCCACATGAAATTATCTTGACAGTTTTCCTGTGGGTATGAGTATAGAAAGAGAGTTACTTTCTATTAGAATCATTGTTTAAAGAAAGAATACTGCATTCAACTTTTAATTTTCATCATTGACACTACATGTCCCCTTTCTTTTCCTTATCCTTAAACCTGATGATGAAATAAATGGTCAGTCCTATTAATTCGGATTAGTGGGCTTACCACTGTGAAGTTACAAGAAGGAAAGCCATCTCCTACTGCTGCCAGTCTCCATGGAGTAAAAGAAAAAGTACCAGCCCTTAAGTTAATAAAACTATTTTTGTGATTTGGAGGGGAAAATACTTTGCTGTTAAAAAGGGTAATCCATATAGAAGAACAGGCTGCTAGGTGACACACTCGGACAGAATGAGACTCAATTATGGGAACTATTGACAGGAGAACTATACATCGCTGAAAAGTACTACTCACTTCTTCCTGAACTCAAACAGAGTAAAATGACATAGAATTGTAACAGACAGAATTCTGTCTGTTACAGGAGGGCATAACAATATATACACAATCCAATCAGGGATGGACAGTGACATGCCCTGGAGCTTAGAGATCACACCCTCAGGACTCCGACGTACCCATGACTGAGACATCATATTCTATCAGCAGCGTTGCTTCTTGTCCGCATTGTTTAAGAATACTCATGGCTTCAGCATGTGTGGTTCCAAGAAGCCGAATTCCATCCACACTGAGTAACCTATCGCCAGGTTTGATTGTGCCCTCTCTGAAGAGAGAATAAAGACATTTAGCATAATAGGGCTTAGCATTACAGTCACTTAACCAAAGTAGTTCTTTCATGTACATTCTGCCATCCATCCCGTCTGCATTCTTTTTAAGCATGAAGTGTGACAGTAAGATTGTAAAGAGGTAACCCTGAACAGAAAATTGCTGTAATATGAAAGTCAGTAATGAGAAAATAACTACACATTAGCAAATAACCTCGTTACCCAAAGTTAACTCCAAGAGTACAAAAGTAAGAAATACACATTTTCCCTTTCCTAGGTTTTTGCCTAAATATCTAAAATTGATTTATTAGAGCCCAGGAAATAATATTCACCTATTTTCCCAAAGTCAGATAAGCAGAAAAGCCTGTTAATTTCATTCAATTTATTGCCAGCGAACCCAAGCAGGATAGGGAGTGCTGGTGAGAAATTTCCCTGGTCTGTAAATTTCCCTACTGATTTATAAGGCCGTTTGGTAGTCATTAAATTGATTCAGCCTCACGTTCCCAGGAAGAGGCAGGCAAATACTATTCTCCCTGCTGTGACCACAGACACTCAAGGCACTGGGAGACAATGAATCAGGACATTAGTGACACCACAAAGGTAGAGCCAGATTGGCCTCCAGCTTTCACCGTCCCTGCCTCAGGGAGGGACACAGAGATGAGAAAATTAAATAGCATGATTACAAGTTTAAGATTTGGAAAGAATAAAAATGAACTCTTAAATAAACATCTTTCACGTAGTATTTTGAGTATTTTGACTCGAAATTTGTATCTTAAACTCTCAGATTTTCTTTAGTCCTAAATTTGTGAGTCCTAAACTCACAAATTTGTAGCCTATTTTTGACACTTTTGTCAACTCCAATTCTAAGTGTTAGTAAGAAATGAAAATATTCTAATTTGTTTCAGAAAGTATAATTCTCAAGAGAAGACTGAGAAGTGAGAAAGGCGAAATTTTTGACTTGTGTTATCCTCCTCAAAGGCAAATACACTTTAGCACAGTGAGAAGCCAGTGTCTTCCTATTTTATTTTTTATGAAACATCATCTTTCTTAAAAGTTAGTTAACAGTTAGACCTTTGAAGAAAAATAGACCCGAATTCCTCTCTAGTTCTTCCACTTACTGGCTGGCAAGTCCCTTAATCATATGGGGCCTCAGTCCTGTCCTCTGTAAATGTGGATAAAGATATCTCATTTACACGGTGGTTATAGAATAAAATAAGATAGTGTCTGTCAAGCACTTAGACCAGTTCCTGGCACAAAGTAAGTGCTTAATAAACTCCAGTTATTATTATTTCTATTTCTTAAAAGAAGTTTAAAGTCTGTGCTGGTCTGAAACATAAAGACAGAAGTAATCGGTGCATTTTTCTCCTATTTTTCAACACCATCTGATGGCAGCAGTTGTGTTCTCTCTTCATTATGGAGTCAACTTTTGCTGTGGGAAACATACAGAAATAAGCATCTCAGAGACACCTAAGCCATGAGTGACTCGGGACCCCACAAGGTTTATGATAGGAAAGATGAAAGCGTTTGTGCTTCAGGTATTCGAACTAGCAAAGAAGAGAAATGCAAGGAAGAGAAAACTCTGGAGACTGGCAAAATTTCTTCCGTTTTACTCAAAGTCACTTCCATTCTGATATACACAGTCCCCAGTAAAAGGTAATGCCAGCAGTGGTAAGGATGCTGATCATACTAAGAATCTGACCACCACCACCTATCTCTCCAGGTTCGGAGATTAGCAATTGGAGAGGATGCATTTCAAGGGTTTGTTTTAAAAGAGCCAGCTGCCTCTTATAAGTGACTCTCACATGACAGGCCCCTGCAAGAGACTACACATCTCCAATCTTTGGTAAGATTGAATAACCCTGAAAGGTAGGTATTATTATCTACGTTTTCAATGGAGGAAACTGAATTTGGAATGAAGTCACTTGCCAAAGATAGTATAGTAAATGTAGAATCTGGAGGCAAAACTTATTTTTTCTGATTCCATAAGCCAAACCCCTTCAGTTTTCACATTCTAACATATTTACTTATGTGGAGCTATGGCTAATGTCGGAATCCTGCCAATGTTGCCAATTGTGGTGCTCTTTTACCTGCCCGTAATCCTGCACCGACTGGGCCAATTGTCGAGCTAGGGCTGGGTCTGGAGCTCACAGACCACTCAAGCCCATTCCAGGCTGGGGCATAAACCCTTCACATGCCAGGCTGGGTCACCAGACCCCTCACATGCCAGGCTGGTTCACCAGACCCCTTACACACAGGTCTATGAGCTAGGTAACTGGCCAAAAGGGTCCTTGGAAGTCATAGGTTGGAAGGCATGGCGATATGCCCGGTGGCCGCCCAAGGCAGTAAACTCCAGCCAAGGTGGCAGTGCCATGCAGGCGCACTAACTCCACCCACACATAACCTGCCCACAAAGAATGCTGCACCACCCCCAACTTGCCCCGAGGTGAGGGGGCCTGATTAAATTATTCTATTTTCTCAATTACTTAATGTCTTTTACTATGAATTTATAGCTCATCAATTTCTGTGCCAAAGTCTTCTGCTCCATTTCCTCCTACTTAATGTCTATCTTTTACTATGAATTTATAGCTCATCAATTTCTGTGCCAAAGTCTTCTGCTCCATTTCCTCCGTTTTGGATAGTGTCACAGAAAGATGACATTTACCTGTCAGCAGGCCCTCCAGGACGAACACACGTTATCACAACTGGACGAGATTTATTCCTATCATCATGTGCACCCCCTAGCAAAGAAAAGGAACACAGCTTCAAAATGCTTTCATTGTGCTATTAATTCACTTAACAAAATGCCTGCTGAGAAACTCAAGTGTATTTGTTGATGTATGAAGGAAAACACGTAAAATTTTCCTTCTGGCATATAATAACCTTAAAGTCACTTTATGTGAAATATGTTTTTGAAGTCACCATTTCTTCACCTCCCAATAAATATATGGCTGTAAGCAGGGTGACATATGAGTGTACTTCAAAAGGTTCATGGAAAGATTCATATTATCTTTTAATTCAATTTTTCCATGAACTTTTAAAGTACCTTCATGTAAAACATTTAACAACTGTTATGGCAAGGGGATCAACTAATTACAAGTACTGGCCCATGAGAACAACTGCTGGTTATAAACAAAGTGCGGGTGTGTATACCTGCTGCCAATCAACCTGGGCTATAATGCAGGTAAGTCAGTAGGTCTACAACCTGACATAAGGAAAGCAAAAACTAAAGTTAAAAAAAAAAAAAAAATTTAGGGGCTGGCCCGGTGGCGCACTGGATAAGTGCGCTGCTTGGGAAGCGCGGCGGTGCTCCCGCCCGAGGGTTCGGATCCCACATACAGACCGGTTCCCGCTCACTGGCTGAGCGAGGTGTGGGAGCAACACCGAGGGTTGCAATCCCGTTGCCGGTCCCTGGTCCGGTACGGGGGCAACACTGAGGGTTGCGATCCGTTGCCGGACACGGAAAAAGACAAAAAAAAAAAAAAAAAAAAAAAAAAAAAAAAGCAAGCAAGCAGGAAATAATTCAAGGTGCTAAAGTGGCCCCCATTAAAACTGGAGTGTTTGAAAAAATTTGGGCAAATTTGGCAGACTGTGTCAAGCCAACTGCAGTACTTACATGGGATTTTAATTTTCTTTTTAAAATATTGATTGATTTTATTAAATATATAAAGTCAGATCAAATAATTTCCAGTGCTTCTTTTTAAAATACTTTTTATTTTTCTGTATATAAAAGCATGACATTTTTGTTGTAAAAAATTTGAAAAATACAGAAAAGTATGAAGAAATTAATAAAAATAATTCATAATCTCTCAGCTAGGGATAACCTTTATTAAATACTTTGTGTATTCAATTTCAGACTTTTTTCTATACATTTTAAAAATTAAGATTATTATACATGTATGTGTGTATATACCTGGTATTCCATTAATTATCCATTATGACATTTTTTATAATTCATTAAATAGTCTTTGAAAGCCCTCTTTAAAAGATTATTATACATGTATGTGTGTATATACCTGGTATTCTATTAATTATCCATTATGACATTTTTTATAATTCATTAAATAGTCTTTGAAAGCCCTCTTTAAAAGCTGCTTAGTGTTTCCTTATATGTTCATTTTTCATTTAATGGAACCCTTACTGTTAGACTTTTGGATTGATTACAGTTTTGAAGATTATAAAAAATCTTCATAAATATTGGAGGACATCTGAGATTACAGTCTTTGGATAAATTCCTAAAAGGGAAATTATTTGACAATAAAAATGAAACATATTTAAGGCTTTGATAGATATTGAAAAATTACCCTCAAAAAGCTTATACACATTATTTTTTCTATCATCTGGATAGGGGCAGTGATCTTCCCCATATCATCTTTAATATCACTATTACTTTTGTTGAAATCTTTGCTAATTTAATAGGCTAAATTTGGTTTTTTATGTTTATTTTACTTTTTATTTCTTTGATTACTACTGAGGTTTGATACGGTTTCCACTGTTTATTAATCATTTGTATTTTTTGTAATTGTTTATGTTCTTTGATAAATTTAACGCTGAGATCTCTTATTATTTTAATATCTTTATTCATCAAAGAAAAAACTTTTCACCTGTAATTTGTATTGCATGTCCTTCCATTTCGTAGATTCCTTCCACTTTTATATATTTTTATTTATTTATTTTTTATATTTAAAATAAAGTTTAATTCACTGAAATGAAACAGCTGAAAGTGCATCTTTTGATTTTGATTTTCTATAAGGAAAATTTCTCCACAAGGATTTTTGGAAATATAGAAGCTTCAAGATGGGATGTGAGTTATTGTAAATTTTCTTTTTATTCCCAAACCCCTTTGTACACCTGCTTTATCTGTACTCTCCCAGCCTCTGCTTAAGATCCACTAGTGTTGGCCACTTACAAGATCAAGGCAGCTCACTCCACATTTGAACATCTAGGGGTGTTAGGAATTCTTCCCATTATTTAACTGGTATCTACAGTCCTTCATCTTTCATGCACTGGTTCTTGTTTTATTATCTAGAGCAGTAAAACAAAACTGTATGCTCTCTTCCATGAAAAAGTTTTTCTGAAAGTTGAAAACAGTGATTATATGCCTGCTGTGTCTCCTCTTCCTAAGTCTGAACATCTCCAGTTTCCTTAAATATTCTTCACGTGACTTGATTTCGTGTATCTGATGAATATGAATGCTACTGTCAACTATTGCTTCCTTAATGCTTGCCTGGTAGAACAGACTGACACTTCCCAAACTTGGAACAGGCAGAGAGGTCAACTTAAAGAATCTAGCCTAAGAGAAAAACTAAAAGGCATTCACAGTTTGTGATGAAGGCAAATGCTTCTTTTATGCTTACTTCTATTACGACTGATATATGTATTCAGTCTGGCTGATTGGTAGAAGCTCCATTTCAGTATTTTATTCTTCATTCAGTTTGATGGCTTCTTTACTTAAAATTGGAAATTTACCACTTTCTCAGAAAAATTTTTTAAAATAAAAATGACAATAATTTACATCAGATGCTTACCCATATATATGGGAATATTATTAAGTAATTTCTCTTTTGGAAGATGATTGTAAAAAGATAGGTTTGATTTAAAAAAGAGTGTGGGCCAAAGACAGCAAGAAACCTTTCCATAATTTTGGTTTGCAGGTCCAAATGTAAATATATAACAGTGAATGCACGTTAAAGTTTCAGACAGTTCTAAATGTCTTGATATGCAGCATTTTATCATTATTTGTAATGAACCAAGTTTAGCGTATGATTCACTTGAATTGTAGAAGTTTGGAGCCTCAAGGCAGTAGAGAGACGACGTAGAGACCAGTGATACTCTCAGTCTTGTCTGCACAGTAGCAACACCTGGGATACTTTCTGAAACTATCTTCCAGGGCCACAGCGCAGAGCAAATCTGAATCTCAGGCAGCACATGTTAGATGAGTAGAATGACCTACAATTTTACAGTCGAGAATGACCAGATAGAAAAACTTTCCTAGTCAAAACTGAAAAGCAATTTTCAGTGGCAGAGTGCTTTCCCTATTAGCCCAACTCATCTCCTTTAGCTTGGTAACAAGGGAATTAACTGAAATTTAACTCTCCAAGGTTTAGGCCAGTCTCCATTTTTCATTTTATGGGTGTAAAATTCTATTGTTTGGGGAGTCAAGGTTTTAGAACCTGTGACTTACAGCATTAGAAATATAATTCTACTCATAAGCTTGTTTTAATGTTCAAAGTTCCATTCTAACAGGTTAAGAAGAAATTCTCCAGTACTAAATGGATATGCTCCACCTGCAAAATTTTCCCCTCTTTCCTGGTTGTCCTGGTATTTTCCATTGATCTAAGTTTATATCAAATCCCATCTATGCCAAAATGTCTTATCTGTCATAATTATATTTACAAACAGTACTTTCTCATTCTGACAAACCAATGATACCTAAGAGATGAGTGGTGGCCACCTTTGAGCAGGGAAGACCCTGTAGATGGGCCTCGAGCTTATCTAAAAATATGTCCTTTTTTTGATTCTTATTGAGAAATTGATGCAAAATTCCACAAACTTTTATGTTCAACTTTTGTACAAAGGGAGTTATTAAAGCCTACAAAAATGTGGTGCTCAGAAACTAAAATTGGTTCATTATTACTAAGGTTTTAAAATCAGTATAATACTAAGAAGTCTGATGTCCACACAAATCTAGGCAACATTCATTCATTCATTCATTCATTTGTTCATTCATTCATTCATTGCCTACAATATATCAGGCAGTATTCTAGGCTCATATTACAAAACTCCTACTATGCATGTACACAAATGCTTGAAATTCCTGCAAATTGTGGAAAGGATGTTTTGTTAACATTACATCATCAGTTGTCTTGAGGTGGTTGTGGATTTCAATTACTTCTATTCTTTTTATTTCTTAATGATAAATTACTATTGATTTAGCTCCTTCATTAGTAATTTGATTTGCTATTGATTAACCATACAGTAACTAGTGATGAATATTTGCAACAGCAATATTTTTTGCTGCGGCTTTTCAATAATAAGGCTTGCATGCATCTGATTCAAGAGCACCTCTCTTTCACATCTATATTGCAAAAATGGATTTATATATACCATACTTCAACCTAAAGTTATTTGTATGGTGACTTTTCATTATATTCGCCAAGTTATTTTAAACAAAAATTGGGGAATGGGTTAGGATAAATGATCTTGGGGTCTGTTGCTCCAACAAAAAATAGGCCTTGGTCAGAAAAATATAATAACTACTAGTCTAAACCACTCAATGAGTTCCTACTTCCTAGTCCTCTCCACTACTCACTTGAGCACGTTATCAACTTATGTCTTAAATTCACTGTAGGTCGGGGTCATGTCTTATGAGTCTATAGTACTTGTCCCTATGCTGACATGATGACATGTGCTTAATAAATATTTGACTGATAGATTTGCAAAATGATTGGCACACAAAGGAACCTAGGGCTTAAAGCTCAGTCACTTAAGGCAAGTGAACACATCTCTTTTATTCTTTGATGCACATATATTTATTGAGATGTTTAATTAATTTTAATTAATGTTTTGATAATTTTGATAGAATTTTGGGTCTGTTAAAGTATAAAATGTTTAGGTAAAAACAAAAAAATCAAGATATGTGAAATGTTAAAAAATTCCTAATACTTAGGTAGTTCCCTGTTGAACCTCATTGTCATACTAGGAGTTGAGAGTTATTAATGTAGGCATATTCTAGGCTCATATTACAAAACTCCTACTATGCATGTACACAAATGCTTGAAATTCCTGCAAATTGTGGAAAGGATGTTTTGTTAACATTACATCATCAGTTGTCTTGAGGTGGTTGTGGATTTCAATTACTTCTATTCTTTTTATTTCTTAATGATAAATTACTATTGATTTAGCTCCTTCATTAGTAATTTGATTTGCTATTGATTAACCATACAGTAACTAGTGATGAATATTTGCAACAGCAATATTTTTTGCTGCGGCTTTTCAATAATAAGGCTTGCATGCATCTGATTCAAGAGCACCTCTCTTTCACATCTATATTGCAAAAATGGATTTATATATACCATACTTCAACCTAAAGTTATTTGTATGGTGACTTTTCATTATATTCGCCAAGTTATTTTAAACAAAAATTGGGGAATGGGTTAGGATAAATGATCTTGGGGTCTGTTGCTCCAACAAAAAATAGGCCTTGGTCAGAAAAATATAATAACTACTAGTCTAAACCACTCAATGAGTTCCTACTTCCTAGTCCTCTCCACTACTCACTTGAGCACGTTATCAACTTATGTCTTAAATTCACTGTAGGTCGGGGTCATGTCTTATGAGTCTATAGTACTTGTCCCTATGCTGACATGATGACATGTGCTTAATAAATATTTGACTGATAGATTTGCAAAATGATTGGCACACAAAGGAACCTAGGGCTTAAAGCTCAGTCACTTAAGGCAAGTGAACACATCTCTTTTATTCTTTGATGCACATATATTTATTGAGATGTTTAATTAATTTTAATTAATGTTTTGATAATTTTGATAGAATTTTGGGTCTGTTAAAGTATAAAATGTTTAGGTAAAAACAAAAAAATCAAGATATGTGAAATGTTAAAAAATTCCTAATACTTAGGTAGTTCCCTGTTGAACCTCATTGTCATACTAGGAGTTGAGAGTTATTAATGTAGGCATAGTCTTTAAGGGATGAAATTGCTAATAAGAAAAATAATAAAGGCCAGAATTACAGCTTAGAATTAATGGTTTTATAGACAAGTTGGAGTAACCTGAAATCTTTATTATCAATGCCATCCCGTATTAAGATGGGCTGAGCTGATGTACACAGATACTCAAGGGATTAGATTATCTTCAATCCATTTTTAGAAAGCTACAGTACAAAATGTATTTCTCAAAAAATTAATTTAAACAAAGTTGCTTAATCCTAGTGTATTAAATCAAATCAAGCCATACTCATCAACATTTTTGATTCGGTAATATAGAAAAGTATAAAATGGAAGGCAAAAGACATGCTGAAGAGAGACAAATCAGGAGGATGACTGAATTGACAAGGCTTACGAACAGTGGCGTCTTGCCCTGTATTAATGGACTAAAAATAAAGCTGGATCATTTAGACTTCACTTTATTCTTATTCACTGTTTTTATTTTGTAAAGAAGAGTAGGGACGAATACTAAAAGGTGACTTTACACAGTGAAAACATCAGTTTTTGAAGATGTCTTTCTAGTTCACTTCCAATATTTCACTGACGAATTTTCTAAGTGTATCTGATGGTTCATGCTTTCTAATCACCACTTACCTCGTATTACAAAACCAAAGGTATTGCCTTCTTTATGTAGCGTGACCTCCACTGTTCGAAAAATAACACTTGATCCCTGTACAGCTGAACACAGAAAAGAGAGAAGGAAGTTTTAAATAATAATAACATTTGTAAATTTTTCACTGTGGCATAAAATACTACAGGTTCCTGTTGCAAATAATTTTTGTTTTGAGTAATAAGGAAGCAATAATTTCCTTTCAAAGAAAATGTTAGAAAAAATAATTATAATGACATAAACCCCATAAAATATTCATCTGCATAAATGACTCATATAGGTCCAAGTAGAACCAAAGTCAGAGCTAGTTCTTTTCCTTCTGTGTAGCTAGTTTCTAGACAGAGGTTGATATTTACATTGTTTAAAGTCTATATAACAGGAGAGACAATCTTCACATAAGTAGAATTGTTTCTGTTGTGGAATGCAAAAATAATATGATTTTTGTAAAAATTATGAAATAATTTCTGTACTTATTTTTATTTTTGCAGCTGGCACAGGAAGAAAAAGTATCACTCTCAGGTTGCTATTAATAATTAGGCTGATGCTAATAAGTGTTCTGACATATAAACAGCTATTAAAAAAAGATATCAGTAACCCAAATGAAACTTGGAGGATAGAAGAAATTGTAAGTGCATTCAAAATATTACTACTAACTAGGAAAATAAAGATCAACCTAATTTTACTTGATACATTATCCTTATGTTGTATTTGCCTGATTGCTGCTGTCATTTCACATAATGAAATTGCATTGTTAAGCTGCAATCTCTAATTACATTATACACATGTGTGAGGGTATAAGGTATATGAAGGTATAATCACTAAAATATTCTCTGAGACTGCTTTTGAGAAACTGGTGAGTAATTCTGGTTGTATAGCACACTATTTCTGCATTTAAAAAAATCCACAAGTTAATATTTTGTTTTTATGAATACAGGGATGTTTTTATTCATGGGGACAGGAAAACTTGCAATGTGTAGAAGCAGATGGTTTTAAATCCTTGATTTGAATTTGTACATTGATATCCAATTTTCCAATGCTCTGTCCATTATCAATAACACATTTTTACATTGTTACTAGATCCTGAAGAGTTTATTACATAGAACTTTTTTTTTTTTGACCGGTAAGGGGATCACAACCCTTGCCTTGGTGCTGCCCGCACTACGCTCAGCCAGTGAGCACACCGGCCATCCCTATATAGGATCCGAACCCGCGGCCTCGGAGCTCCCAATGCCGCACTTTCCAGAGTGAGCCACAGGGCCGGCCCTACACAGAACTATTGACAAGAAATATATAGGCAGAATTCAAAGGCAGCAATTAAAAGAACTGATCTTGCCATTTATAGAAATAGCAAGCCATTTTCATTAAGCATTAATTACAATTATTTTTAATGTCAGAAATGCTGAACTCTCAAGGGAATAAACATGATCTAAACACTCTCTGGCTGGGACATAAAGTACAATAAGAACTTGGATCTTCTGAAAAACAACATAAATCTACAGCTGAACAAATATTTTGGTACACTGCTAATTTAATTAAATGCCATATTTTTGCTATCAAGGGAATTTCGGTTTATTCTAATCAACTAGGAACAGTACCTATAAACAGCTGAGAGTGCTTAGGTACAGTTTTAATTAAATAAAAAAAAATTGAGTTCGTACCAAATATTTTCTTATTTCCATGACCAAACAAGCCACTGAGCCACTGAAGAAATTAAGAACATAATCTTTTTGTTCTATTGGTAAATGAGGAAAAGAAAAGGATATGGAGAGAAATAATTAATGAGTATCTACTGTGCGCCCAGAATTCTGCAAAGTAGGTTACAAGTACTATTTTATTTAATCATTAAATCAACTTTCAATTATGTAAAACCAAATTCTAATTCTGGGCCACCTGTCCTTGTTGGCTGGGTGTCTGTATTGGGAATGCAAAGTACTGCAATTTTAATTATGCTTTAGCTAAATCTTGCTGACCACAAAATTTTACAATTAAATCTAAAGTCAGTGTAAAGACTTTGGATTACCTGCAGCTTTAGATTATCTACACTATTGCTCTACATCATTTACAAAGATAAATGTGAACAGTGACTGCATTTTAATATAATTAATGAAATAGATTTGGTCTTTATAGCTATTATTTGCATAACTGGCTCTTGGGGAATGGCTTTCCACACTCAGTACCATCCACTCTGTATTGCCATGTGAATCTTACTCATTATGTCACACGTGTGTATGTTACATAAAGATCCAATTTAAGAGCTTACCCAAAGAATCAAAGGGCTAGGTAGAAACCAATTTCACAATGCAAAAATACTCCCCTTCTTTATTTTAGTTGTACTGTTGTCCCTTGCTTCCAAATGGGAATGTGCATGTCCCTCTATACAGTTATTTTACTTTGGTAGATGACATTTTTCTAAATTCCATACTCCTTTCCTGCCTCCCTACCCCTGACCTCCACAGAATAGGAGTTTAATAAATTTCCCACCTCACTATGCTGCACTTGCCCATGTGACTTGCTTTTGCCACTGGGATGTTAAGAGATGCAAGCGGGGGCTGGAAACGAGCTCGTGGGGTTGAGCTTGTCCTCCTTCCCCTCTGCCATTGCCACAGGAGGAGCTGCCCCTGGTTGGCTGCATCTCCTTCAGACTGAACCCAAGAATGAGTCATGTGGAGGAGACCTGAGACTGCCTCTCTTTCTATCATCCTCCTCATCACTGTCATTGTCATTGTCACCACCACCATCATCGTCGGCTATCACCTATCTGTCTTAGAATTTAGGCTTTCACAGGGACAAGGTTTGCCACATTATTTGAGTTAAAAAATGACCCCTTTGGATAGAAATCTAGTCTGATTTAGCTGATGGTTTAACAGGGAAGACTATCTTTGCCAATCAGTTAATGTGGCAGACATTTTTCATTAAATGAGGTAAATCTGTAGCTCCAAGGTTTGAAAGGAAATGGTATTTTAAAACATATAAACAAACAACATGCCAGAAACTACATACGTTCCAACTATTTAAGCTCATGATACATAACTTTAGGTGTTACTAAAAAGAAATGGGAATCATTTAACATTTCAAAACTCTTTAGGGATTATGTCACCAAAAATTGGAAGCACTGCTTGAAGACTATCTTTGCCAATCAGTTAATGTGGCAGACAGTTTTCATTAAATGAGGTAAATCTGTAGCTCCAAGGTTTGAAAGGAAATGGTATTTTAAAACATATAAACAAACAACATGCCAGAAAATACATACGTTCCAACTATTTAAGCTCATGATACATAACTTTAGGTGTTACTAAAAAGAAATAGGAATCATTTAACATTTCAAAACTCTTTAGGGATTATGTCACCAAAAATTGGAAGCACTGCTCTAGACCAGCTTTTAATACATAAATACCTACGATACAGTTTGGTAATATTCTCTCTAAATGCAGTCTCAAAGCATCACATAATTTTAAGTCAAAAAGAACTCTAGAGTTCATGTAGACCAATCATTTCATTTTCATAAAGGAACTGAATCTCAGAAAAGATAATGGATTGTCCCAGGTCAAGCTTCTATTTCTCCTTTATCAGATCACACACACACATCCTTCCTTCAGTTCTTTCTGAACTCTGGCATTGGCTGAGCTTCTAATTGCTGTGCTCTTGACAGCATTACCAGTGTTGGCCTTGGGCGACTTATCTTCGAGCAGTCGGTTCCGCTCACATGGCCTCAGCCATGGAGAGCCTGTTTCTGCGCTAGCTGTCTGAGCTAAGTGACAGTGAGGCTTATTCATCCCTTCAACCTCTCTGAACTCAAAGATCTTATTAACTTCTCCAAACATAAGAGACAGAGACAGAGATATTCCTTAAAGGACAGACATCTTCCCACTAATTTCCACCACAAAAATTCACATTTTTGTGTTTAAAAATATTTTTTCCCTTTTTCCATCAGTTTTCTTGTGTAAGGAAGAAAAAGCGGGGGATAATCACCAAGTCATAATAGGTTTTAACCCCTAAACATTTCTGACTCCCAGTATCTCCTCTTTAACTCAACTAATGCTATATATATTTAGGCTATCACCTCCCTTTCAGAAAATTGTAACAGCCTTTGGGCTTGTAGCCTCTGATCTACTCTCTACTTGGCCTCCTAAAATGATAAATATAAAAAACTCTGATCTGATGATACTGTTCCCCAGTGTTAAAAGCCTCTAAGGGCTTCTTATTGTCCATTTGATGCCATCCAAGGCCACCAATGTGGCTGATGGAGTTTAGATGTGTTGTCCCCACCAAAGCTCATGTGGAAATCTGATCACCAATGTGGCAGTGTTGGGAGTTGAGTCATGGGGGCGGATCCCTCACGAATGGAGTAATCCTCTCCCTGGGTGGGGGGAATAATGAGAGAGATCTTGCTCTATTATTTCCCGCAAGAGCTGGTTGTTTAAAAGACCCTGGCACCTCCTCTCTCTCTCTCTCTCTTGCTTCCTCTCACCATGTGGTCTGCTTATACCCACTGGCTGCTGCCATTTTCCACCATGAGTAGAAGCAGCCTGAGGCCCGCACCAGATGCAGCGGTCCCAGAATCATAAGCCAAATAAACCCCTGTTCTTTATAAATTACCCAGTCTCAGGTATTTCTGTTACAGCAACACAAAACAGACTAATACAGTGGCTTACAAGGACCTCCTTATTGGTTCCTGTTCACCTCACCAGCCTCCTCCCCCTCCAGGCCTCTCTGTCTTTTCCTTTGTCCTCCAGTAACTCAACTCTACTCTGTAGTTTAACCTGTGCACTGGGCTTTTTGTCTCACCTCCTTGCTGTACCCTCTGCCTGGAGGGTTCCTCTTCCTACCTGACAAGCATGACCTCCTTCAAGTGGTCCCAGAACCCCCCTGCTCTGAATCAGCTATAATGCTGGGCAGATACCAATGTGGCAGTGTTGGGAGTTGAGTCATGGGGGTGGATCCCTCATGAATGGAGTAATCCTCTCCCTGGGTGGGGGGAATAATGAGAGAGATCTTGCTCTATTATTTCCCGCAAGAGCTGGTTGTTTAAAAGACCCTGGCACCTCCTCTCTCTCTCTCTCTCTTGCTTCCTCTCACCATGTGGTCTGCTTATACCCACTGGCTGCTGCCATTTTCCACCATGAGTAGAAGCAGCCTGAGGCCCACACCAGATGCAGCTGTCCCAGAATCATAAGCCAAGTAAACCCCTGTTCTTTATAAATTACCCAGTCTCAGGTATTTCTGTTACAGCAACACAAAACAGACTAATACAGTGGCTTACAAGGACCTCCTTGTTGGTTCCTGTTCACCTCACCAGCCTCCTCCCCCTCCAGGCCTCTCTGTCTTTTCCTTTGTCCTCCAGTAACTCAACTCCACTCTGTAGTTTAACCTGTACACTGGGCTTTTTGTCTCACCTCCTTGCTGTACCCTCTGCCTGGAGTGTTCCTCTTCCTACCTGACATGCGTGACCTCCTTCAAGTGGTCCCAGAACCCCCCTGCTCTGAATCAGCTATAATGCTGGGCAGATCCTTACTACTGAAAGCTATAGTAAAAAAATAAATAAATACTAAAATAAAGAAAGCTATAGTAAGAGTTCCTTTCAGGAAAGCACTGTTTCATTAATATTCATATCCTCAGTGGAATAAAAATGCATAATCAAAGAGTATTAGCTCTAAATATCTAGTTTCTCTTAACTGCTTGGCAGTAAAGTTCAAAAAAACCTAGTACTTTCAGTGTAATAATAATAACAATGGTAATAATGGCAATTATAATAATAACAATGGTTATAATGATGGCGACATTACTAGTTACTTAGCAAGTATGTGAAAATGGTCAGAATAACAATTACTAGATAATAGTACTGATTCATTACAAAAATCCTACAACTACTATAGCCATTTTACAGATGAGAAACTTAAGGCCTGAGAACTTAAACAACATGCCTGAGGTCACAAAGCTAAAAATGGACAAAGTTGCCATGTAGCTGATGGCATAGCCCAAGCTCTTACCACTCTATTTTACTGCCTACTCCTGATGAAAATGAAAAACGTCATGGCAATGTTTTTGAACATAGACTTAAATTGATTTTGTTATAAAATGACTACTGGATTTTCAGCATTAGGTTTTATGTTGAGAATAAGAACTGGTGATTGATTATGTCACACACTCCTTGAATACTCTGATCTTGTCCCCAAGCTTCAAACACCATCTATATTCTGAGGACTCTCAAATTTACTTTTCCAGTCCAGATCTTTCTCCCAAACTCCAGACCACATCTCCAGCTCTTTTTTTTGACATTTTCAATTGCATGTCAAATAGGCACCTCAAAGGTCACATTTCAAACGAGCTTCTGATCTTCCCCCCAGAAATAAGCTCTGCCCACATTCCTACCCACCCCCATTCATGGCAACTCCATCCTTCCAGCTGCTCAGGTTCAAACCTTGGGGCTATTCCTGACTCCTGTATTTCTGTACAATCCACATCAAATCTATTAGGAAATCCTGTTGGCTCTACCTTCCAAATAGATTTGGAATCTGACTGATTTTCACCATCTGTACCACCTCCCACCTAGTTCATTGCAATAGCCCCCAACTCATCTCCCTGCTTCTATCTTTGCTTGGTGCAGTCTATTGTAACACAACAGCCCGAGAGTGCCTCTGAAAAGATAACTCAGATCATGTTACTCCTCTGCCCCAAACCGTACAGTGACTTCCTGTATCATTTAGAGCAACACTTAAGGTCCTCTCAATGGCCTGCAAAAACTCCACTACCCTTTACATTTCTTTTTTTTTTTTTTGTCTTTTTCCGTGTCCGGCAATGGATCGCAACCCTCAGTGTTGCCCCCGTACCGGACCCGGACTGGCAACGGGATCGCAACCCTCGGTGTTGCCCCCGTGCCTCGCTCAGCCAGTGAGCGGGAACCGGTCTGCACGTGGGATCCGAACCCTCGGCGGGAGTGCCTCCGCGCTTCCCAAGCGGCGCACTAGCGCAGTGCGCCACCAGGCCGGCCCCTACCCTTTACATTTCTGACCTTGTCTCCTAATTCTTCACCTGCTCGTTTTGCTCCAGCCATGCTTCCTTATTACTGTTTCTTGAATGACCCTGCCTATTGGTCTTAGCACTGGCTGTTCCTTATTCCTGGAACTCTCTTACCCTTTACATTTCTGACCTTGTCTCCTAATTCTTCACCTGCTCGTTTTGCTCCAGCCATGCTTCCTTATTACTATTTCTTGAATGACCCTGCCTATTGGTCTTAGCACTGGCTGTTCCTTATTCCTGGAACTCTCTTAGCCCAGAAATCCATACAGTCAATTCCCTCACTTCCTTCAAGTCACTGATAAATACTACCTTCACAATGGGGCTGTTCCTAACCACCCTATTTAAAATTTCAATCCCACCCCAATCCTAGCACTCTCAAATACTCTCCTTGCTTTGCTTTCTTTTTCCCATAGCACTCATGACCCATACTATATAATTTACTTATTTATTATGGTTTAATTTTATATCTTTCTTCCCCTGACTAGAATGTAAACTCCACCAATGCATCCCAAGTTCCTCGTATGTAGTGGTTGCTGGAACATGGTAAATGCTCAATAAATCATTGCTGAACAAATGAGTTATTACCGATTCTTCATAATCAATCAGCATTCTCACCAGTATGGAAGAGCAAAGAGTTTTCCCAGGGTAGCATCCATGTTAATAGCTAATAATAGGAGAGGTGGTGCTAGAACAGCATAGCTTAGATGCAGGGCAGCAGCAACATTCAATCAGCATTCTCACCAGTATGGAAGAGCAAAGAGTTTTCCCAGGGTAGCATCCATGTTAACAGCTAATAATAGGAGAGGTGGTGCTAGAACAGCATAGCTTAGATGCAGGGCAGCAGCAACATATAGCATAAGGTATGCCTCACAATGAATAAACACATGAGTTTTGGAGTCAGGCAGGCTGGGCTCAGATGTTGACTTTGCAGCCTACTAATTTGGGAAAGACTACTAATTTACTTAACTAAGCCTCTGTAAAAAGAGAAAAATAATGATCATAATGCTTATCTTGTAGAGTTTATTTATTTATTATTTATCAAAAACTTTTATAGTGTTAGGCATTGTTCTAAGTGTTTTACAAATATTTAGTTAATCCTTATAACAAATCTATGAGTAGAAACTAATATTATCTCCATGTTAAAGATGTGGAAACTGAGACATAGATAGCTTAAGTAACTTTCTCAAAGGTGTGTAGCCAGTAAAAGGTGGAGCTGGGATTTGAACCTGGCTATTTGATACTAAAGTTTGTCTCTGTTATGCTGACCCTCCTTGTGGTGAGGATTAAATAAATCAATGCAAGTCAAGTTTCTTATAATGTCGGGCATTTAGAAAGCTCTAAAAGTGTGTTGGCTGCTCTTATTATTACTGTACTATTATTATGACTTGATATTAATGAGTTCTGAAGCTACAGGGTACTTTGAAAAGTTCACGGAAAAATAGAATTAAAAGATAATATGAATCTGTGAATTTTTTTGAATACCCTCATATTTTCATGCTTCAGAAACAAACACATGTATCCAAGAGTCAATATAAAACATGCTAAACATGCTTTTCCTAAACCTATTCACTAAGCACAAAGCCTGGATGGTACTTAATGCACAGAACTTATAACTATGCTGATTATTCCATAAAATAGCTTAAGCAGTAAATACGATGTTCACAGATCATCTTAATGGAACTCAGGACCTATATAATTTCATTTTTACCTATGGTCTTTTCCATTCTTCCTGAGTAGGTTATAAGTTTCTCAATTCAAATAATTTTTAAATATCAAGAAACTCTGCCATCCTATAATGAGACGCTAATAGCAAAAGGAAAAGAAATAAGTCAACTGCTGTAGGGTGCGGCTGCTCTGCCCCTTGGCTGTGATTACGTACAGACTGGTGGCAGCTCATACTCTACTTCGAGAACCACTCTTTCCCCGACATTCTTCAGTAAGCTGATGATCTCGTCATGGCGGAATTTGGCCAGGTTGATCCCATTCACTGCTTTGATGTAGTCGCCCACATCCAGCTGGTCACTTCTGCAAAACAGACAATGTGGCTTCAGTGGGCCCATCCCCTCCACAGGCCAGTCTGACCCCACTTGCCACTTTCCCTGTGTACATAACCATGCAAGCCTACAAGGCTGACAGAGCAGGAGTCCCTGGCTGGCCCTCAGAGCAGCAGAGCTGAGGGCAGTGAGAGCTGGTGGGTGTTGTTTATTCTCACTGTCTCTTACACTTCACAAGTCCTGCTCTGGGTCCGCCGCTACCTCTGATTTTTTTGGTGTTTGCCTCTTTTATTTATATTATTTATATTTTTTATTTATTTTGGGGGGCAGCTGGCCGGTATGGGGATCTGAACCCTCGACCTTGGTGTTACCAACATGGCACTCTAACCAACTGAGCTAACTGGCCAACCCCTGCCTCATTTATTTTTAAAAGCCCTATAAAACAAAATAAAGAGAAACGTTTTTAGTTGCTCCATCCCAAAAGTGTTGGTTCTCTGGGGACGGATCCAGATCCTAGACACGCCAGATCATTTTCTTCTCATTTTTGCTGTCTGCCTTTCACACATTTTATAGCTTTCAGCATCTTCACTGGAAGCCTGTCCAGGGGCAAGGAAAGGGTCAGCTCATTTTGCTATTTATTGATGACAACAGGACCAATAAAAAGTATTGGTGAAGAGGAAATGACAATGCAAGCGTAGAGTTTCAGTTACAGTCCCGTCTCTCTTTACCAACATAATAGAACTTTGGCTGCTCCTGGGCTTTTAGTCAAACTCTACCTCTAAACCAAGAGCAGGCAGCAAGAGCAATGATAGGAGTTAAAATCTGTGTCACTGATGAGACTTTCAACATTTTCTCCCCAAATAGAAACGCATTTATTTGATCTAAGTCCAGCCGCAGTCACTCCCCCTTTGGGGCGCCTTCCCGGTCCACCCCACCTGCATTCCCCGCCGCCGCCCTGACCTCTGCTTTGCCCACGCCCCCGGCAGCCTGACCGCTTCATGCTCTGGGATAACTCTTGTGCGGCTGCTTCTGACTATTATGCAATGCCACCGCTGCTCCCAAACTTTTCATGTTTTTTTCTTTTAAATATCTTATATCCCCTAATAGATTATAAGCTCCTTTAGGGCAGGGATCTTATCTTTAATTATTTTGTTTACTACCTCTAAAATGGTAGTGCCTTAAACAATGAATATTTGGTGATTTTTAATACTCAATATAACTGGTGTGGTACTACTTTTAATTACAGCATTAATACAATTGAAAATGCCCTTCTCCCTTCACACTTGCTTTAAGGGCTAGACATGAGGAAGCTCTGTAGACACATGAAGCCCTAGCATCATGGACTGACCATGACTGTTATAAAATAAGGAGGCTATGGGTGTGGAAAGAAGTCTCGTTAAAGTCCGGAGAAAGCAGATTAAGGTGCATGTGTTCACATCAGCCTGTCTTACAAACGAGGCCTCCTAATCATCAAATAGTCAATTGGAGCAAGCTTATAAGTTGTACAAAAGGGGTGATCATCAAAAGTAGTCAATATTTCAGGTGACACTTTATAAGGCAAAAACTCTAAAATACAGCTTGGAATTATGTGGACAAGAATATTGGTGTCCAGCATTTAAGATACACTAACTTACTTTTAATGCATTGTCATTCCATTACCACCTTACCATTCCAGCCCCTCCTTGTGAGGTAAACTTAGAATCTGCCCATAAAGCAAGCCCAGCCCTGCCCAGCATTCAGGACCTTCTTCCTTCGGCAGTAACTAGTGCAGGTTGTAGTTCAGGGAAGGAAGGACAAAGTGAGACCTACTCCAAGGCTTCTGTCCTTTAGGAACCATCTCTTTGTCTTGGTGAAAAGGAACATCTCACAAGCAGAAAAGTAGAGAAGATGTGGGACAAGCCAAATTTTTACTTAGAAACTCGAAGCTGGGGCTCCCGCTCTTTGTAGGCTCGCCATTTGCCTCTGAGGCAGGCCCTCCCTCACCCCCCACCCCTGACATCTTGTGGGTCATCTGTTTCACATTTAGATGACTGGAGCAGCTCATCCCCCCTGCAGCCTGTCTGGTGTTCATTGGCATGTGTGGGGACTAGATCTCACCCCCCACCCCTGACATCTTGTGGGTCATCTGTTTCACATTTAGATGATTGGAGCAGCTCATCCCCCCTGCAGCCTGTCTGGTGTTCATTGGCATGTGTGGGGACTAGATCCACACGGGCTTTTTAATATTAAAACCTTCTGAGGGTCCGGCTACTGAGTTGAGATGAGAGTCCCCCTACTGACTTCAGCACAGGCCAGAAAAGCCCCAAGGGCAGATCTGGGGCAGCTTCTGAAACATGCCTCACTGTGCTTTGGCTGGAATGTGCTGCCCGGCAGATGGCAGCTGTCATTTATTTATTAGTGACCTTTTCTGATGGAGCTTTAATTTTTGAGTTAATTACACCCTGTGTTCCTTTTTCTACATTTCCCTGAGAGGCAGTTACCTAGCAGCAATTCCTCCTTGCCGCAGATTAGAAACTCTCGGCTTGCCATCCTTATCAATTCCTCCTGACACTGTCAGACCGAGGGTAGTGCCTTCCTTCTTCATCAGTTCAACGATGGTGGAGCCCTTGAATTCCTCTGTCAAAAGAAAAGCATGTGCCTTATTAAATGAGAGTAGAATCGTAATGTCATTGTGTGTGTGGTTAAGTGACTCCTTCCCTATAAACTCTTCCTGATTTTTCTTTTATAAGAAAAGATATCTGTGGCCTCCTTCCATTGTAATTTGCAGAATATCTCATAAAGATGTGCATACAGATAAAGTTGAGGCAGATATTCCATTAGAGGTTATTAAAATGGATTCCAGTGGGGTAGTTCACTTTAGGTTGACAAAAAATATTCTGCATTGTCTTATGTACAAATGATAATATTCGCCCTATGTTTTCTGCCATTCTCAAGTGACTTTCTCCGGTTTCTCTCATAATTCCAAAGGGGACAACCAAAAGTTATAAGCTAAAGAGTTAAAGCAGGATTTTAAATAATGCTACAAATGCATATAGTGTGACAGCAGACTCCAAGTTCATATTACGTTTCAGCATGTGAAGCTAAGTGACAGAAGAAGAGAGCTTTCTACTGTCACTGGAAAATACTATTGACTGTTTACTCTTTTTGGCTTTCAAAAACAAAGTACAATGGCTCATGAGAAGAGAGCTTTCTACAGGGTCCTGGAAAATACTATTGACTGTTTACTCTTTTTGGCTTTCAAAAACAAAGTACAATGGCTCATGTAACAACTCGTTTCATTTCTTACAGAATATGTCACAGTATGGCAAGGCAGGGTAGGTCCTTAGAATTTCCAGGTAATTGCCCTAAATCGCTCATTCTCTATTTAAAAATTTTTTGAATCTCATAGATCTTATGGGGATAATGTTTATACACTCAGAGGGAGCTCAAATCTTTTGATTTTAGGCAAAGCAGAAGGTAAGGAAACTTTAAGAATATCCTTCCTTTCAGAAATAAAAATGAATTGAGTCAATATTTACCTATCCAGAGGCTAATTATGATAAATACCATTTAAAAAATTCTCTGTGATGTAATTCCCTCTTCTGCATACACACTGGGTAGGGATGGGGAAACTGTCCAATTTTTCAATTCCTCCTAAATCAGTTTATGAATTTCAGGGGTTATAAATTCTAGAACATCAAAGACTCATATTAAAATGCAAAAATTAACTTGCTTTTTCAAAGTCAAATAGAAAAATGATTATTTGCACACTTTGGCCTTTTCCTTAATTACATACACAGTTAATTATAACTTCAAAAATCTCTATGAATACTTTTCATAAAGGTTTTAAATTGTTGCTGCTAGTATATTATCCCTCTAGCCAATGAAAAAATCAAATCATGTTTCGAAAGGAAATAATCTCTCATCTGATCTAGTGAGGAGAACAAAGTACTTGGGGAAAGACGCCAGGGATGCAGGCCACCAGTTTCCTCAGCAATGTGGAGAAGGTCATTCAAAGCAGGACTTTCAAGATTGCCAGTCCCGTGACTTTAGCACCAGGCATACTATGGCTGGAAACCTGCTTTTTCATGACAGTCTTACGACACTGTGTAAGTGAGTTGTTCTTGCCTTTTAAAGTTGAAGCCTAGGAAGTCTTCAAGTATGTATGATGTCAGCTTTATCTACCACATTTTTTATTAGAGACCAAATAAGGATTGAAATTTGAGAATCAAAATTCTTGTCCAGTGCATAAAAGCACAGGATCTTTTATATCACTTAGCAGGAGCATTTGTAACAAAAGTCTATCATTGTGTGCATTTCACTTGTGCCCCTTAAAACAAAACAAAACAACTCCCAATACATCCCACAAAAACATACATAGGCCCAACTGATGTTTGAAGTCATCAATATAACAAACCCACATAAATCCTAGTTGGCAGAAGGCTAGATATATTTAAAAATAAAGTTAAGCAAGTCAAGTGAAGACCACTGAGCTGCCACTGGAAACACTCCAGGCTCCTAAGCCAGGGTGGTGGGGAGCCAAGGGCTTCAGCCATGCCACCTGACATCTGCATCCAGCTCAGCAATGACTGAGCCACTGATGGAAGCCCCCTGCTCTCCCCTAACAGAATGAGGGGGGTGCCATGGGCCTCAACCAAGCCCCCTCCCTCTTCCTTATACCCTATTTCCCTTCATTTTCCCCTCTTCCCTCCCTTCCAAGTGCTCTGCAACATCTTAGAATGTAAAATAAATAAATAAAAAATAAATAAATAAAAATAAAGTTAATTAAAGTAACCAAAATGACAGAGTAGATGGTGACCATTCATATTACAGAGATGTAATGTGCCCAACAATTTTGCCCAACAGAAAGATCCTTTGCATCTTCTTATAATATACAGATT